AGAGGGTGGTAGGGGCGGTAGAGGGTGGTGGTGGTGGTAGAGGGGGTAGAGGGTAAGGGGTGGAAGGGGTGGTAAAGGGGGGGTAGGGAGTGGTTGGGGGGGAGGGTGGAAGTGGTAGAGGGGGCTGCGCAAGCGGAAAAGCGAGCGTAAGCGAGCATTTGATGCTTGTAATAATAATAATAATTCAAAGTATTTATTTTAAGATTTATATTCTTAAGTTCATTCTGAGATTGAACTTATGCATGTTGACCACAGCAGGGCTCACGCTTAACAGTCTCATAACCTCTAGGCTACTGGGGCAAAAGAGCTCAGTCACCACCAGCGCTGCTGGTAGAGGGCCGATCAACCCCCGGGACCCTCATCAGATTACATTAAGTTCAGAAAGCAGTGATGTTGCCCTAAACCTGATCAGGATAGAGCTAAACCATGTAAGGTTAATCCGCCATGATACGGTACTTTTGTCAGAGGCGCTAGAGAGACCAGCTAATTCATAATAGACTTAGCGCGGTAAACGCAAGCAAAACCTAGAAAGTTCAAAATATCTAGAAATGAAATCCAAGACGAAAAAAAAGAGCAAAATTGTGACTGACCTCCCATTTATTCTCTCTTTAATTAACGGCTACTATAACTCTATATTTTTCTCTCTTGTCCCCGCCTATACCTTATAATTCCGTCCGCTGGTCTTTTTTCTTTTCCCCGTCACAATGGCCAAGGACCGGTCTGATAAAGAGAGAAAGAAGGAGAAGAAGGACAAGAAGCGGTCGGAGACAGATGGCGTGCACAAGAAGTCTAAGAAGGATAAAAAGAAGGACACGAGCTTGCTTTCCGAAGCTGTGGAGAAGAAATTGACGACAACGGTCCTAGAGCAGCTGGAGAAACCCGATGCTTCCCCAGCGCCTGCTGCTGAGACCGCGTCAAAGAAACCCGCTGCGGAGCGTCCTGTTGGTGCTCTCGTTCCCTTCGCGAACCCGTTAGCGGACGATAAGTTAGCGAAGAAGGTGCTCAAGAGTGTTAAGAAAGGTATGCCTGTCTCAGTTTTTGTTCTTCTAGCTTGCTTTCCCTCCCCGTTTCCACCAGTCTGTAGAATACACCGGTCGCAGTTATGGCCAGTGCAGTGCTATCCGATGGAATGGTGTTGATAGAGTTCGTTCCCCGTGTAATTACACTTACTAACAACAACATTTTCACCCGCAGCCGCTGTAAATAAGTCTCTTAAACGAGGCGTGAAAGAGGTCGTCAAAGCACTCCGGAAATCGCCTGTACCCGCAGCAAACGCCGTTATCGACACTCCAAGCGCCGTCGTCGTACTCGCAGCCGATATCTCACCTATGGACGTAATATCACATATCCCCGTTCTCTGTGAAGATCATGGAATCCCCTATATTTATGTCTCGTCAAGAGCTGAGTTAGGCAGTGCCGGCGCCACCAAGAGACCGACAAGCGTTGTCATGGTGCTCCCACGATCAAGTGCGAAGGTCAAGAGAGACAAGGGTAAGAAGGATGGCGGCGATGGTGAGGACATGGAGTATTATACGGAACTTGTCAGAGTTGCTCAGAAGGAAGCTCAGAAGGTAAAAATCTAGAGAATAGTTTTATGCTCTGGTCTGCCTTCTTCCATGTGCTTTTTTTTTTTTTTTTTTTTTTTTTTTTTTTTTGCATGTCCCCTACGCTCTTCCTATTCGCATTTCTCTTTGTTTTCATTCCCATCCTGATGGGTGTTCTCCGTCGTTTTCTGCTCTGTGTTCTGTTGTTCTGCGCACACGAAGGTTCTTACTTCGTATATCTGTTGGATCATGGTACGAGCCATATATCTGCGATGCGAGGTGACGGGATCTCGGTCTTCATATCCATTACGTATTTTTTTGTCTGGCGTTCATAAATGGGTGTATAAAAAGGGACGGAATGAATACTACTTGTTTTTTATTTGGCTTCGTTTCATTTTTCTCATTCGGCCTATTGCCTTTTCCGATGATATTTTGCCGACCCGTTGCAAATCAATCTTGCTAGAGGAACACTCCCGACAATGTCCACAGGATGACACTGTTCTTGGTACTTCCGATTCTGGTCCTTTACAAAGACGCTACGTCATGGGTATGTTCAGGAGCCAAATCTCAACTGACCAGAATGAAAATGACCATGCCGACCCAATCAAATTTCATCTTTCAACATCATAAATTACAGGTACATGAATGAAAGGTAAAACACACACACTCATTCACTCGCACGGATACAGGATAGCATGGCGTGAGACGGGGGATGATGCTATACTACTGCATGGTGAATCCGCCTCCAGGATTGATCCTGTTGGTACTCTCGTACAAGTCCATGAAAGTCAGGGTTTGAGAAAATCGTGTAGTCCTGATCTGTTGCCTTTGACTTAAAATATTAAACATGGAAAGTAATTCAAGGTAACAGCTCGGTTTAGAACAATTGTTTGATGAATCTCCGTATATGTGCAGGTATTCTAACCTTCTCACATGGTTGATGTAACCTTGGTACTGTAAATTACGTTCCTCAAGTGCCCGAATCCTTAAGATACAACTCCATCGCAAACACACTATTATTAGATTCATTTTCTTATTTCTTATTTTTTTATTTTTTTTCCCTGGGCTATAGGCTAAATACCTGTTTTCGAATACTCTTATTTTGCCCAATTAAGCCTTCGCATACGTATATCCTATCCTATGCCTCGTGATCCGTTAATCGGCCTCGTTGGAAAACCCTCGTCTGGGAAGTCCACTACTCTAAACAGGTGCGGATTGATAAATGTCCTGCACCGGATGGACGTGAAATTAACCAGTCTAACACAACAATTCCAACAGTTTGACCGATGCTTCTTCTAAAGTTGGTAAGTCAATCCTTCTTTCCTTCTTGTTGCCGCAAAACTGAAGAAATATGATTACAGGCAATTTCCCGTACGCCTTCCCAGAACGATATCAGACCCCTCCTTTCTCCCCCTCTTTCAATGCAATTCCCCTCCATCCAGACCACCGAGATTTCATCGCTAAATCGCGGAGAATAGCTTCACAACTATCGATCCCCAGCGCGCCATTGGCTACCTCCAGGTAGACTGCGCGTGCAAACGCTTTAACGTCTCAGATAAATGCAGACCGAATTACGGTGGCTGTCATGAAGGCCGGAGATCCGTCCCGATAGAGCTGCTTGATGTTGCTGGGCTTGTTCCTGGAGCACATGAGGGCAAGGGACTCGGGAATAGATTTCTGGATGACTTGCGGCATGCGGATGCGTTAATACACGTGGTTGATGTTAGCGGGACGACTGATGCTGAAGGTTGGTCATGTCAATCCAGGTCACTAACTAGTGCAGCGCATGGCGACGCCAGCATAAGATGTTCTTGGGTGGGCTGAATAAAGTGTTTTTTGATACCAGGGAAGGCAACTAGAGGGTACGACCCTTCTCAAGATATTGTTTGGTTGAAGTCGGAGATCGTCAATTGGATTTTGGGGAATCTTATGGAAAAATGGTACACCTCCCTATGACGGCAACGGGGCATTTCCGAAAACAGACACTTACGGTAATAGGGGTCCATAAAACGGCGACATACTGCAACAGTCGTGTAGAATTGCCAGATTGGAATGCAGCTATTCTGACATAGATAGAGATAGATAGAGCGCCCTGTTGAGACGCTACAAAATCAGTTTTCTGGTTACGGAAGCACATCGAAGATCGTCGCGCGATGTCTTGACCGATTAGATATAAAAGAGCCTCTTCAAGAATGGTCGGATGAAACTGTGGAACGTGTTGTCGTCGCCTTCATAGATGAAAAATTCCCCACGGTGCTCGCGCTAAATAAAATTGACCACCCTGATGCGGACAAGGTAGGCTAGAATTTTGAAGATTCTATGAAAATTTTTGTCATTTTGCTGATTTAGCGGAATCATAGAATATAAGTAAAATCGCCAAGGTTCAAGATCCGCAATCGATCGTCCTGTGCTCTGCCATATCAGAAGTCTTCCTTCGAAAGCTAGCCAAACAAGGCTATATCAAGTATGTCGAAGGGAGTGATTTTATAGATACGAGAGAAGATCTAATAGATATGGGCGACCCTGACGGCGGTGGCCTCAAGGAAATGGATGAGAAATTGAAGAAGTATACACTTACCCCTTGCTACCTCAATTGAGTCCAACCATTATGTATCCAATACTTACTTAGTTTGGGCAGTCGGGTGGAAAATCTCAAGGATTTGGTTTTGTACCGGTTCGGATCAACGGGCGTCGTCCAGGTTCTCACGCGCGCTGCAGAGCTACTTGGGTTGGTGCCGGTTTTCCCAGTCCGCAATATCCACACATTTGCGTCCGGAACCGGAACGGTCAATGGAGTGTTCAAGGATTGCGTGCTTGTCAATAAGTCAGATCCTCCGCGTATTTACTAGGAATTTTAAATAGCCTATGGTCTGCTAACACTATTACAGGAATAGCACGGTGGCTGACGTGGCTCGGAAAGTGATGGGTGATGCTCCTGTTGCATATATAGAGGGAGCGGGAGGCACAAGGGTCTCAGAGGATGAGATAGTTTCTATTGGGAAGTACGATGTAAGGACTGAATTTCTAAGGTCGGCCACTTCTGGCTGCATTATCCTAATTTTGCAGTAGCATTTCTTTTTAACTCCCAAGCTAACACGCCTTTCCACGATCCGAAGGTTTTATCTTTTAAAGTCGGCCGATAATACCACTCAAATGTTACCATACAGTGAACGAAATGACATATTCCTTTGATCCTTTCTTCGCCGAAACTCAATGCCCCTGCTTGTATATCGACCTCAGGAGGTAGCGCGGCCTTTAATGCTTTGCCCGCTCATCTGCCCTTCTGAAATTATGAATGAGCATCAGCCATGTGTACCAAGACAAAAGGAGACAGAAAAAGTACTCTAAATTCGAAATAAGGAAACCGACTCACCTTGCCCCTTTCATCGGTCATGCCAATAATGGGCCTTGGAGCTTCTAGAAGCTCTTCTCTGCGTTCTTCGTGGAACCTTCGTGATCTCGTTCTGTCATGGCATTGCTTTTGGAATTTCCCGTTCCTTTTGTGGCTTCTTCCTTGTCTTTCAACCCACCAGCCGAACCCTTGGTTATGGGATCCGTAGTGTTGCCACGCTTGCTCTGGTCCAAGCTATGGTCCTTTCCCGTCGAGCCTCTCCATGCATATCGGATGCCTGGGGAGAGGGCTGTCATCGGGGGTGGACGATGCGGGAATCGTAACTTATATAGTACACCCGATCTTCTGATCATGATGGCCGTTGTCTGAATTAACTCCCAGCTTTCTATACAAAAAGAGAAGATGTTTTGGGGGGATATTAGCGAAGGTGGGTGAGGCGTTTTTGGTAGGCGTTAGGCCTAATGACGTAGCTAGGGCTGTGACAGCTTCTGCTCATGAGTAAGTAGTAAGAATTTACCTTAACCTCCAACCATACTGGAAATCACTACTTCCTGGGCCTTCTCCGTAACGAATCTCAATTAGTCATAAAATGCAACGTAAAAGAAGAACAAGATAGCTTTAGATGCTGTGCTGACAGCAACAAGTGGCCAAGGTTCCCAAACCAACGGAAAAACCTGTTTAGGGGGTGGAATGAAATAAGGAGAAGCTTCATTCTAAAAGTTGTATATTTCAGGACTCCCTCATCTCACAGGCAATGAGTTCAATCTCCTGACAAATGTGCAAATAACCTAGAGAATCAGGATGGGCGTGAGATTTTTCACATCACCCTTGGAGTCAATATACACGAGGCCCCATTCACCCCTGCTGAACGCCTGTTTGTCAAGAAGGATGATTGGGTTTCGATTACTATCATTATAGGCCACATGTAGTATTCTGTTAAACACATCTTCGCTACGGGGCTTGTAACCGTAGGACTTGATAAGTTTGTCCTTCAGCTTGAGTTGTTCAGCCATTGGTTCGAAGGGATGTGTATTCACAGGCTTCACCAGCTCGGGTAGGGTGCTATAAACCCGAGGCCAGGCGTCGCAGACATCAAAGAGTTCAGGGTCATCAAGGAGAATCCACCACGCATTCCCTGAGGCGCAGATTTCATCGTCTCCGTCAACCGAATAACCAGGCGGGCTAGCATCTCGCGACGGGGAGTATAAATTCCACCCGAAATCCTCAAACCACTTTTGGAGCGTTGTATCGTCATCGGAACCTCCATCATAGTAGGTGCGCAAGAAGAAAAGGCATCATAAGAGGAAGGATGGAGAACATGTTGATGGGCTATTCTTCGCAGCTTAGCTGGGCGGTAAGGCTCAAGGACGGTGGGGATTTCTTCCGCATCTTGGAGGTAGTGGTGAGGAAGAGTCCCAGTGCTGATGTATGGTGTTAGACTCGACAGTGGGTTAGGGAGTATGCGCTTCGATAGGAACAAAGGTGCCTACGATTAGAAATTGTTCCACGGGGAGGGAACCTTATGGGGAATTCTCTTGCTCTGGCGCTGTGGTCATCTTACAAGATCTGAACGGAGATCAGTGGTGAGATGCAGTTAATACAAAAAAAAAGATTTTAGAAATAGTTTTTTACTTGTCTTAAAAAAGTAAGATGTTTTTCTCTGAATTTTATACAATATTCTTATAAAGAATTAAAAACAGAGCTGTTTTCTATTATAATTTCATATTCTTTTAAGAAAGAATTACTTTTTCAGTGATTAAAGAGCTTTCATTAATACTTAATTTCTTTTTACACTCTTTATTAACTGATTTGAGTTGCATACTTGTTGTGTGAGAAGAATTGAATAATTTAGAATAAAATTAAATAGTTTTAATCAATTTCTCTGTAAAAAGTTAATTTATTTTTTATCAGTTTTTCTCTTAAAAACTGTTATATTATCTGATTTATTATTAATTGATATTATACTTTTTCTCACTGTATTCTAAGAAAGAGATTGTAAAGATTTTATTAATTTATCTTAAAAATTAATTTTAGTTTATTAAATTCTCTTCAAAAATCTAATCTAGTTACTGAACTGATGTGAAAAAAATCAGATGTTTTATACAGAAAAGTCTTTTATTCTTCTTTTAAAACAGTCTGATCAACTTTTCAATTGAAAACAGACTTAGAAATATCTCAATTAAAACAGTCTGATCAACTTTTCATTGAGTGAGAATAATGAGTTCAAAAATACACTCAGTTGATGTGAAAAAAGATGCTTTCTCAAATACTATTTCTGAGATTGAAATTTTAAAGAGAAGAAAGAAAGAAGAAATAGAGAAATAACAAGTTCTTAAAATACAGAAACTTGACAAAGTAAGTAAGATTCTTGAAAAGCAGTATCTGAGTGAGATAAATAAAGAAGTTCTGTTAATTCTTTATACTCAGACTAGATAACTACAGAAGATAATCAAGTTCAAACTTAGAATCTCAAACACAGTTTAAAAAACATTGAAAATTTCTAGTACAATCACTGACTCTTTATCTTACTCTTCTTCTTTTTTTTCTACTTCTTCTTCTTCTTTAAATTAGAAGAAAATATATACTCAAGTAGCTGAATCTGCTATCTTTAAATCTGTTATCTCAAAATCTGCTCAAAATTCTGAGAAAACTGAGAAGAATACTACTCATATCTCTATTCATAGAAAAGTGAAAAAAAAATATAAAAAGAGAAAAACTTTCAAATCTTCAGAAATAGAAGACTTATTTTCAAAGTCTTAAATCAGAACATTCTACAAAGAAACAAGCTAAACTTAAATCTCATTTTCAGAATCAGAAATGAAATTAATCAGCAGTTCTTTTCTCAGTTAATAACTAATATTAAAGTTCAAAAATCAGTTATAGCTTTAATTAAGCTATTATTCTTTAAAAACTCTATTATTCTGACTACAATACCTGAACTCAGTACTGAATTCTATATTCAGAATAAGAATCTCTGAAAGTCAGCAGTAGAATCTTTACTAAATACAATAATTTTATCTGAAAGAGATGAAAAGTAAGATAAATTCATTCTTTATAATATTTCAGTTGAAATTTTTGACTGTGAAGAAGAAATACTACTTCTTAAAAATGAATTGAAAGAATACAACTCTATTCAACTGAGAAAGAAGTCTGTATAACTAAATATAATTAAGTTCAGATAAAGTAGAAGAAATGTCTCTGTTCTAGTATATATAAAAACACTTAAACAGTCAAAGATCTCTGAAGTAAGAGTAGCAGGTTTGAAAATGAGAGTTTATAAATACAAAGACTTAAGAATGAATCTCAAAGCTCAAACACAGTGTTCAAACTGTCAAAGATATGAATACTTTACAATCTCATATTTTAGAGACTTAAAATGTGTATTCTGTGTCAGAGATCATAAAACTAGTGAGTATAAATGTGAAACATGTTCAAAAAGAGATGAAATATATTAACATACTCTGCTTAAGTACTCTAATTACAAAGAAAAACATGCATCTAGCTCAAAAGAATGTATATTTACTTCTAGAACTTAAAAGAACTGAAGAAAAGAGTCAAGTCAGTAAACTTACAACTGCAAGCTTAAAAAGAAGAAACTCTTAACTATTTAAATCTTTAAACTTCAATTCTTCAGCTAAATATAATCAGAATTTGAATCCTCAAACTTCTGTTAAGATTAGAGAATTGAGAAATGTCTCTGATAATAAACTAGATATAATACAAGCAGTTGAGATGTCTACTTTTCAAAATAGTTATAATCTACTATCTAATGATAGTGACTAGATTCTACTCTATCTCTACTCTCTTTTGATATGAATATATAATAAAAATAATAAAAAAAGTTTAAAAACACTTCAAAAATCACATTTATTCAAAATAATGTGAATAGAAACTTAAATTGTATTTATTCTTATCTTCAAATTGTATTTGAATAAAAAGTTAATTTTATACTACTTCAGAAACTAAATTTTGATGCTGAGTAAAATTACATTATTTCTCATTCAAGCTACTACTGCTTTCTATCTCAAAAGTCTGAGATAAAGTTAAGAGTAGTAATCTATGAAAGAAAGATCTCAAGATATCAATTTAATCTAAGATTTAATATCATATCTGACTCTGATATTCTGATGAATGATATTATAGATAAAGAAAATGAGTTTGATACTATACAGCTCATAAATATCTATAATAAAAAGTTATTGAAGAAAAATAACAATATCTGAATAATTAATAGAGAATTTCTGAACATAACTCTATCAAGAAACTCTATAATTATAGAAGATTTCAATACACATTATCTCTGATAAAATTCAGAATGCAAGAGAGTAGTGAGAGCTGATAATCTGATTACATAAATCTTTGAGCATTCAATAGATTTGATTAATAAGTCTGATTAATAAACATTCTTTAGAAAAGACATGAAACAGAAATCTATTATAAATATAATCTTCATATCATAAAATCTAATGAAAAGAAGACTTATAAACTGATTTATTAATTCAAATAAGACATCAGAATCAGATCAGGAGATTATTTAATTTAATATTAAACTGAGTAAAAAATAAATGAGTGAAAATTCTCTTCTCTTTAATGAGTTTAACTTTGAAAAAGCTGATTGAAAAGCAGTTGAAGCAAGTATAAAACTGTTAAAATTTAAAAGACAGAGTAAGTTATATTGAAATTCTGATCAAGATATCTTAAATGAAATGCTTAAGAATAGAGTGAAGCTTATTACATCTATTATTCTAACAAGTGTTAGAGATAATATTTCAAAGAGAAAATCTTCTGAGTATTCAAAATCTTGATAAAATAAGAATATCTCATTTAACAGAAAAGAATTAGGTACTGCTAGAAGAGATTGAAAAAATGATATAATATCTGATAAAGAGTTCAAAGCTATCAGAAATAAATATTTTTCAGATATTAAAAGAGCTAAAACAGACTGCTGAAATAAGTTTCTTAAAGAAGTATAAGAGAAGAAAGTTTTTAAAGCTTTTAACTATACTAAAACAAGAAATGTAGCAAAACTTTCAGTCTTAGAATATGAGTTTCAGAATGAATTATATACAGCAAACTCTTTTGAGAAAAAATATCAAGCTTTTATGAGAATTCTCTTTCAGAACTCATCAGATTCAGATTCAGATTCAGAGAAAGAGAATATATCACTTCTCAACTATATTAATGAAAATGACTGAGAATGATCTGATCTTACACAAGATGAATTAGAGTCAGCTATCTTCTCAAGTTCTGTTAAAACTGCTGCAGGGCCTGATTGAATTAATCACTTAATTATTCAAAATATATATTCATAATTAAAGAATGAATATTTTGAGCTCTTTTTCAATCTCTTGAAAAATGAATATTATTCTGAATGCTGGAGAGAAGTCACTGAAGTGATTCTTATAAAATCTAATAGAAAAACTTCAATTCTTAAGTTATATAGAGTAATATCTCTATTAAACTGTCTAGAAAAGGTTTTGAAAAAGATAATAGCTACTTAACTATCTTTTATAAGCTCTATTAATAACTCTCTTTTATTCAGTGAATAAATGAGAGATAGAAAACAATATTCTGTAATTAACACTATTCTCTCAGTTGTTCATGATATTTAAATAGCAAAGTATGAAGATCTGGTCTTAACTGCAGTTTTTATTGATATAAAAGAAGCATTTAATTATGTTTCAAAGACAAAGTTAATTCAGACTTTGAAGATATTAAAACTATCACTTTCTCTAATAAAATGAGTTAACTGTTTTATATCTAAAAGAATCATATAACTTTTCTTTGATGAAATGAAATAAGACAAGACTGAGATAAAAATAGAAGTGCTGTAAGAATCTTCAATCTCACTTATTTTATTTATAATATACACTGCATATCTATTCAAAGATAGAAATATGAAAATAGTGTGATCTCTGAGTTATGTAGATAATATTGATCTAATCTACAGCTGAAAAACTATCAAAGAGAATTTAAAAGTGATTGAAAAATCTGTAAAGAAAATTCTTATAAG